GCAGCAGCAGCAGCAGCAGCCGCTGCTGCTGAAAGAGATTTGTCTTGCTTTGCTGCCAAAGCGAAACAGCAGCGGTGTAAAGTATTTATTCTGCTGCTTTGCTGCTGCTGCAGTTGTTGCTGCTGCTGCATCTCCTGCTGCTGCTGCTGCTGCTTCTGTCTCTGTTGCTGCTGTTGCTGCTGTTGATTCGGGCTCTGTGGTGCGGGTTCTGCTGCTGCTACCAAACGGCAGCAGCAACGCAGGCAGCTGCTGCCACAATGAGGACTCAGAGGGCTGCTGCTTCATCTGCTGCTGCTGCTGCTGCTGCTGCTCCTGTTGTTGTTGCTGCTGTTGCTGCTCCTGTTGTTGTTGTTGTTGCTGCTGCTGTTGCTGCTCCTGTTGTTGTTGCTGCTGCTGTTGTTGCTCCTGTTGTTGTTGCTGTTGCTGCTGCTGCTCATGCAGTTGCTGTGGCTGCTGCTTCTGTTGCTGCTGCTGCTGCTGTTGGTGCTCTGCTGTCGCCGTTTCAGTGGCGGCTGCTGCGGGCATTACTGCTGCTATTGCTGCTTCTGTTGCTGCTGCTGCTGCTGTTGCTGCTGCTGCTGCTGCTGCACCAGCAGCAGCAGGAATAATAGGAGGGCCTAGTGTGGGTAGCAGGGGGATATCCGGCAGGGGGCAGCAGCTAACCCAGATTGGGATGGAAGCAACAGCATGCGTGGCGTGTTGTGCTGCTGCTGCTGTTGCTGCTGTTGCTGCTGCTGCAGGAGCAGCAGCAGCAGAACGGAAGACATGCAGCACTAAAAAATAAACAAACACACCAGAACGATGAGATGGAGGCAAGAAAGGAGGAAGTGTGCATTCAAACTCAAACGCCAGTCGCCTTTGACCCCTCTGCTGCTGCTGCTGCTGCTGCTGCTGCTGCTGCTCCTGTTGCTGCTGCTGCTGCGGGCAGCAGCTGTTGTTGGGGCAGCAGCAGCTGCTGTTGCTCTGAGGAGACAAACATACATTGCGCGCTAAGACGCAAGGATCAGATAAGAACAGCAGTTTGCTGCTGTCTCCATATACTGCAGCAGCAGCAGGATCAACCAGCAGCAGCTGCTGCTGCTGCTGTTGCAGCTGCTGTTCATGCGCTGGGAAGGCAGGGGGACGGCTAGGCAGGTTCCCCGTTGCTGCTGCTGCTGCCGCTTCTGCTGCTGCTGCTTCTGCTGCTGCTGCTTGTGCTTCAGCAGCAGCAGCAAAGGGGCTGCACGTGATTACACAAGGGGCAGCCAGGTGTCTGTACAGCTGCTGCTGCGGCTGCTTTAAAGCAGCAAGAAAAGCAGCACGACCTCCGCTGTCTATTCTCTTGGGGCAGCACACGACCCCACAAACCTGAACAACTACTGCCTCAACCTCGCATGCTGCTGCTGCTGCTGCTGCTGCTGCTGTAGTTGCTGCTGCTGGGGGCGTTGGCGTTGTTGTTGCTGGTGCTGATGCTGGTGCTTCTGCTGCAGCTGCTGCTTCTGCTGCTGCTTCTGCTGCTGCTATTCTTGCTGCAGCTGCTTCTGCTGCTGGTGAAGTAGCTGCTGCTGCTGCTTCTAGAGTGAAGATACACCGGAAGACATCTCCTGAAAAGAAGCTGCTCTGAGCCAGAGACAAACCCACCCTAATTGTCCCCGGGCGCTGCTGCTGCTGCTGCTGCTGCTGCTGTCGGTTCATGGCTGCAGCAGCTGCTGCAGCAGCCGCTGCAGCAGCAGCAGCAGCCGCTGCAGCAACAGCAGCAGCCGCTGCTGCTGCAGCAGCAGCCGACGAAATGCCTGGGGGCCCCCCTCTCCCCCTACCTCTTCGCCAGCACGCGGCTTCTGAGGCTCTCTCTTTACAAATAAAAATATAAAAATAAACAAAAAGAGACAGATATATTTATTTTTTTTCTGCTGTCTCCTAGCAGCAGCTCCGGTGTACAGGCACCTGCTGCATGCAATCTTGGGGCTGGGGGCCCTCCCTCTTCGCAGTTATATTTAATTATTTAATCTGTTTCTCTAGAATTTTTATTAATATATAATGATAGCTAGCTAACTATAGAGATAGGTAGATAGACAGCTAGCTAGCTAGCTAGCTAGGTGTGCCCCTACGTTAAGATGTTGCAGATACACCCCACAGCTGCAGCTAGCTAGCTAGTCAGAGCCCTGCAGCAAGCTAGCTAGCTAGCTAGCTAGAGCCCTCCAGATAGCTAGCTAGCTAGCTACGAGGTGTAGAGGCGTTGCTGGGGGAGGAGACCCTTAAGCCTGTGTGCTTGCGTCGTCTCTTTAACTAATAGCAGCTGAAGCCGCAGCAGCAGCTCAGCTGTCTCCTTTGCTTCTGCTGCTGCTTATCTGGTGTCTTGCTGCTGCTGCACTGTCTCCTCACCTCCCTTGTGTCTACTGTCTCCTTCTTGTCTCTCGTCTGTCTCTTCTCTGCTGTCTTTGCATGCATTTGCTATTAAAGCCTATCGCGGTGCTGCTGCTGTCTCCTTTGTTAGGAAGTAGCCTAACTGCTGCTGCTGTCTCTGTTGTAAATGCAGCACAGCAGCAGCAGCAGTAGCAGAAGCTGCAGCAGCAGTAGTACCTGCAACAGCAGCAGTTGCTGCAGGTTTCTTAGCTGCTCCTGCTATATTTGCTGCTGCGCTTCACTGCTGCTGCAGCAGCAGTCAATTAGAGAGATGCTGCTGCTGCTATAGCAGTAGCACCTAATTCGAGCGGTACTGCTGCTGCAGCAGCAGCAGCAGCTAACTAGAGAGTTGTTGCTGCTGCCGCAGCAGCAGCTAATTCAAGCATTGCTGCTGCAGCAGCAGCAGCTAATTCAAGCGTTACTGCTGCAGCAGCAGCAGCATGTTAGAGTATCGCCGCAGCAGCAGCAGCTAATCAAAGTGTTGTAGCTGCTGCTGCTGCTGCTGCTGCTGCTGCTGCTGCAGCAGCAGCAGCAGCTACTCATTAAGCCAAGGGTTTTGTTTGAGGGCCTCCGGGTCCCTTTCACCATAATCTACGAGCAGCTCTTCGCCTCTGAAAACACCACGTACACCCCAAACCCTAAACCCTAAACCCTAAACCCTAAACCCTAAACCCTAAACCCTAAACCCTAACCCCAAACCCTAAGCCCTAAACCCTGAACCCTATCCCCAAAC